GGCATGTCGTCGCTATGACTATAATCAAGAGTATATAACCCCCCATATACTAGTACTCTTGCTATAATGCTACTTTTAGAAGAGGGTCAATATAATGATTTGGGTCCACTGATGGCAGGCTAGCTCCAGTTATGAGCAGAGCACCAGTCACTCTGTTGCAGGTGACGGTATGCAGCAATCTTCAAGCTCTGCAGGTGTTTCCGGGCTGGCTGCTTGTCCAGAACTGCCTGTGGCAATCTATTCCACACCGGCACGATGCAGTATGGGAAAGAGCGCAGAAGGTAGTCAGGAGCTCGTGGGGAGAGATTCAGCTCAAGCTGGTGGGGATGGTGCTGTGCTTGGGCTGCTCGTGTGCGGCGATGACGTGGCGGCATAGCCGGCGGGGGGCACATATGGCTGCAACTTGAGGCAGACCGTGGCCACACATCAGTCATCAGTTTATACAATAGGCAGAGAGCAGAGACCTTTCGGCTTTCGCCGAACAATGAGGCTGGGAAGTATGGTACCAGGGCCAATGGCGCCGAGCTGAGCAGCCAGCATGGCCAGGTGTGAGGGCCTGAGCTGATCCTATCCACGCAAGGGGTGCATATTCCAGCATTGGCCGGACAAATTCCTTTGTAGACAGTCACCCTGCCCGCGTGGCTGAGGAGGGGTGCTGCCTTCCGCAGGAGGCCCAGCCGCTGTTTAGCACGTGATGCAACTAACTAACTGTTACTTGCCGAAGGTGGAGTCTGTAGTGTAGCTCAGTTTGTAGGACCAAACGTCACTCCGAGCACCTAGGTCCTTGACAGATTCATCTGGTGGGAGAGGAGTTCCGCCGAATGACAGCTGTGGAGTCACTGTATCCTTCCGCTGGTGTGTTAGAGTGATGGTTTGCGATTTCGATGGCTCAAACGCAATCTTCCATCTCTTGCCCCAGGTATGAAGCTCATCTAGGCTGCGTTGTAGGGAGGCATTCGAGGCTTGGTCAAGGAGGGAGTACAAAGTGGTATCATCAGCGAAAGACAAAGAAGTGTTCAGGTTTATGCCATGCGACAAGTGGCTTGAAAATGTCGTTTACTTACACGAGGAACAATGTATAGTCCACAAGCCAAGGTGCCAAAAAGTGACTTTTCGCTCCCGTTCAAGGGGGACAAAGGTTTGCCATGTGCAAATGATAGAGAATGCGTAGAGCTTTCAGGATCTGTGTGACTTGACCCAGAAACATGGGGCTTTGTTGACCAAATCGACGAAATACTTCTTGAAGAGTGTTACCATAGCAACCAAAGTGATAATTCCCAATTTAGGTATCTTGCAGATTAAATACTAACAGTGTTGCTTTGGAATGAAGTAGCCAAGGCCCAGACCTAGCTGTGTACAAATTTTCATGATGATCGGAGGTGTCTTACTACCTCAATAGCATTGCTTGGAATCGAACACAATAGCGTCAATACACGGAATGCAACATAAGTCACATTTGAGAAAATATTTACAAACAAGGAGCCTGCACAAGATAGGAAATGTTGACAAGTAGTCAAGTACTCTAGATTTATGATTTCCTAGCATGAAGGCTCTGATTATAATAGTACTGGCATAATGGATCGGATGGAGAGCCAAGTATAAATTTATAGTCAAGAAAAAATGGACCACTAAACTACAAGAGAATGAAGTTGAAGACACCACTGCAGCTGTACTTATGGTTGATGAAATATGGTGGTAAAGACACACCTGGCAATATGGCGGTAAACACACGCCTGCCCACACACGCTCTCTAAGCTGCACAGTTCTGGCACGGAGCTCTCCTTCGCACCACCACCACCATCAGTTCGCGCCTGGCGCCTCGTCGATGCATGGTTAGCGGTATCCGACATGGCAGGCTGGTACATCAAGTAGCGCATGGCACATAGAAGATGACACAGCAACGACATAGCTCGATTGCGACGTACGTTTCGTCCCCGCTGGACTCATCAGGCAATCTTCTTCTTGGATGTCTTCATACGGAGCTTAACTCGGGAGAATGAAGTTGAAGACACCACTGCAGCTGTACTTATGGTTGATGAAATATGGTGGTAAAGACACACCTGGCAATATGGCGGTAAACACACGCCTGCCCACACACGCTCTCTAAGCTGCACAGTTCTGGCACAGAGCTCTCCTTCGCACCACCACCACCATCAGTTCGCGCCTGGCGCCTCTGTGAGGGAGGAGGAACTTCGTTTTTGCTGGGTTCAGCGTCATGCGCTTCCCTTTCAGGTAGGCAGACAGCTTGAGCAGATCTCCGTTCAACGTTCCTATGACTTCCTCAGCAGAGTCACCAGCTGCGTACATATTCACATCATCCGCAAACTGCAGAACTGTGGAATTGTTCTGCAGACCACGGACATAGAGGCTGAATAGGACAGGCCCCAAAACAGACTCCTGCGGAACACCCTGCGTGCATGGCACGCGTGGCAGGCCCTCTGGTGCAATGAGCTGCTGCGTTCGATCACTCAGGTAGCTTTTAAACCATGCCAGAGCCGAGTCACCAATCCCACAATCAAATAACTTATTCGATAGCAACTGGTGATTGACGCTATCAAACACTTTCCTGACATCAGCAAGCACTACGCCAACAACCTTCCCATTATCCAAATCTTTCATCCAGCTATCAATTATAACACAATTGCAACAGTCAGGGCCTCCTTACACGAATGATATCGTCTGTATGCAAATTGCTGGGGTGGAATGTCAGGATTCTCTTGGAAGGCTGTTGGAGTGCGCATCCAAGATGCGCCAGAGCTTTTAGCCAGTTAGTTGTAGAACGTCAGTACAGTCGGTCAGTGTCGTGCAATGTTATCGTATGAGCTGATTGTTTAGTAACTGGTGGTGTTAGTGGACATTATAGCGCAACTTGTAGTTTAGTGGTCCTTTTTTTTCTTTACTATAAATTTATCCTTGGCTCTCCATCTGAGTCCATTCTTGCACACCTGATGAGCCGTCCTTATCTATACGGCGAAACGATCGTCGTGTAAAACTGCTGCTTGTTACCCGCTGCTTATTGTCCATTATTATTATTATTAAATTTTTGAAAGGGCGAAGCGAGAAACAGATGTGCATTGGCGAATCTAAATTGTCATAGTTGAAGTACAGTACTATTTTACTGAGGCATTCGGTTTTGCATGATTCTTGTTCGCATACATGTAGCTTCCCATTTTATTGATCTTCGCATCTTTGAGCCACACAACTTGTGTGGAATGTTGCTTTGCGTCCTTGAATCGTGGTTTGACCGTATTGTCCAGTGGTCTTGCCAGTATCGTCATCGACATGCATGAACATCCGCCAACGACGTCCTTCACAGCTGAGACTTTCCGCCTTCATGCTAGGAATCATAAAGTATCCTTCTAGTGTGCTTGACTACTTGTCAACATTTCCTATTTTGTGCAGGCTCCTTGTTTGTAAATATTTTCTCAAATGTGACTTATGTTGCATTCCGTGTATTGACGCTATTGTGTTCGATTCCAAGCAATGCTATTGAGGTAGTAAGACACCTCCGATCATCATGAAAATGTGTACACAGCTAGGTCTGGGCCTTGGCTACTTCATTCCAAAGCAACACTGTTAGTATTTAATCTGCAAGATACCTAAATTGGGAATTATCACTTTGGTTGCTATGGTAACACTCTTCAAGAAGTATTTCGTCGATTTGGTCAACAAAGCCCCATGTTTCTGGGTCAAGTCACACAGTTCCTGAAAGCTCTACGCATTCTCTATCATTTGCACATGGCAAACCTTTGTCCCCCTTGAACGGGAGCGAAAAGAGCGAATAGTCACTTTTTTGCACCTTGGCCTGTGGACTAGTAGGGCCAAGGATACTACCTGGTGCCAAGTAAGTTGTGGGACGCCAGACTGGACGGAGTGCACCGATGAGCTCAGGCACAACAGCTTGGTACCGTGGTACGACATCGCAGGTAGTGAGTACTCTACAAAAAATAGTAAGCCATGCGAGCAGGGAACCGGTTAACCCCCTATCCCCAGCTGGTGGGCCTTGTAAGCAGGGAGTAGTACAAGACCATTATTTTCGATTTTGACAGCATGTTACAAGGCGAGGACGCGTAGTGCTCCTGACTACAACCATAAACCGGTTGGCAGAGTCCCGGTCTTGCGACCATTTGAACCGTATTGGGAAAACCCAGGTTCGGACCCTCGTTACTCTACGGGTTGGTAGGATTTTTATAATTTTCGTTTTTTTGTGTTGTAGAAGTCGTCGTGTTGCCGCCGTAGTATTGTTCACGTTGCTGCCGCTGCAGGGATCACGTCTGGAAGGATTTGTGATGTTATTTTCTTGTCTTCCTCTGTAATTAAATTATTTGTGATTTATTTCTTTTTTCTTTTGTTCTTTTGTTCTTTTTCTTTTTTCTTGTCTTTTTTCAACTTCTGCCCATGGCGTCCTTCTCTCAGCTCGTCAGCTGTAACAGTCACGCCTTGTAACATGCTGTCAAAATCGAAAAACATGTTACCTAACTACCAAGCAAGGCTTCTGTATATACCAAGACCATTATTGTACTACTCCCTGTTGTAAAGTACGCCAGCATGAGACACTTTGTCAAAAGCCCCCTGCCCTTGTGATGTCATTGTATAATATTGACAGGGACTACTACAGGGAGTCGTAAACAGTAAAATACCATTTTACGACTCCCTGGAAGATACATGTGTAGCTTTTTGTTTGGTCTCTGCGACCCGGACCGGGACTGACAACCCGGACTGACGACCAGGACCGACGCGACCCGGCCGGACAGTCCGTTCATAATGTCCAATGCACGTGGTAAACATGGTAAATGCTGGTAGAAATACGCGGGTACGTGCACTCTACCGTATCGGTATACCTGTCCACTTATAGCTACCAAGAGTACATAACCCCCATACTCTTGTAGCTACTGATTGTACAATGTAGCTGAGCATTTATAATCATCACAACAACATTGTCACCATACCGTACCGGGCATACGGATTATGGTGCCACCACAAACTACAATGGCACGGCTAGCTGCGCTGCAAGCTGCAAGGCCCGCGGCATGTGTGAGAAGCGTGAAGGCGGCGCGCGCCCCGGCCACGTTTTTGTCGTCGTAATCGTATGGTGATCGAGTTCTCGTAGTGTGATTGGTACTTGAATGTTAGTGAATGCATGTTTCCGAAGGATGGAGAGAGGACGACAATGATTTCGACCAGAGCCTTCAGCTGAAATTTGTTTCCACTGGACACTGTCTTCACAATGACAGCGAAAGAAGGCATTATTCATGTAAGTCTTTGACCATAAAGTACTTTTGACTACAAATTTAGTTACATGTTTTTCTCAGCAAATGTTACATTGGTCTGGGGCGTTACACAAAGTTATAGCTGGCGTGCACTTTGTCTCCTCATGCTTGTCATTCATTCTGTTCTGATCATCGTTTACCATGAACAACGTAGCAGTATTGTATTTTGCTTCAGTGCTCTGGCAATTGTGTTTCTTAGCGTTTCTTTCTCCAATTTTGTTCTTTTACGTTTTTAGGTGCTAATAAGCCACAGTTTCTTACGAACACAGTGATGACCATACAGTTTTTTCTAGCAGAAACACCACTTTATATTCCTTGTGTCCGGTATATTTAGGAGACTTGCGTAATGTGTGAATGGCATAGTTCACTCAGTGAATTTGTCTTCACCCCATCTGATCTGACTGGAATGATACCACAATGTAACTCGGATATAACGTACCTGTCAGGAATGACAAAATTATAGTACTTTATTTCCAGTAAAAGAGAAGGGACCAATAAATTACGAGTCATGACTAACAGTCCACCAAGGACTTAGGTAATGAGATACTAAGCTCATGTTGATGTAACGATGATGGACACGTCAGGTACACTAACAAGTAGTTTCACACAACGTACCTTTCGCCGTATTGCTGGCGACGGCTCATCACGTGTGCATTATTAGAACTCAAATGTTGAGCCGATAGTGTTCAAGTAAAAGAGAAAGGATCAATAAGTTACGGGTAATGACTAACCGCCACGCCGGTGTATAAGCCCCCCCCCCCCCCCTCTCTCCCATTCCAGATTTGTTTGCAATGCATGTTCATGGTATACAGTACACAGCGGGACGAGTTTCAGACCAATTGGTCTGAAAGAAAAGAGCCGCTTAGGGTGCATACCCCGTATGTACTCTTGGTGCGGCTTATACCTTTGAATGCGGACAACAATTCTTTATTTCGTTGCGAATCAAAAGTTGGAATAGTAACTCCTTCTGGGTTTCACTGGTTTCCTTAGGGGCCATCCATAATTGTCGCTATTTATCACAAGCAGACAATACGTAGACAGAATTTCTGAAACTCTATTCACACATAGTGAAGTCATTACTTATCCATGCCGGTTCCTTTTTTCTTCTCCTCCCCTTCTCCCTTCCTTGCCGTGGTTGGCTAACACCCTCTCTCTTTGTATTGGCCGGTGTTCTCACTGTGCTATGAGATGCTGCAATAAATAAATAAATAAATTATGATATCCATGAACGATAAAAGGAGCAAAGCCGCTATTTAATAGCGGCTTTGCTCCCACCATACATTTGTACAGTCGTGGCAAATGTCGACGGCGATTATGGACAGGCCTTTAGTGGACTGCAGTTTGTTGCATGTAGTGTGGATTACTCTGCATGCAGGCTGTGCACAGTGTCCTTGATACTCCCTGACTCTCTCTCTCTCTCTCTCTCTCTCTCTCTCTCTCTCTCTCTCTCTCTCTCTCTCTCTCTCTCTCTCTCTCTCTCTCTCTCTCTCTCTCTCTCTCTCTCTCTCTCTCTCTCTCTCTCTCTCTCTCTCTCTCTCTCTCTCTCTCTCTCTCTCTCTCTCTCTCTCTCTCTCTCTCTTTCTCTCTCTCTTTCTCACTCTCTCTCTCTCTCTGTTTCTCTCTCTGAAATTTATTCTCTTTATCTTATTTCTTTTCCATCATTTCCCCTATGAGTTCCTATCAGTTGCTGTGAACACCTTGAGTGGAGAGTGCTTGCTCGAGCGTTGAACCCGGGTTCTTAATCCACCATTCCCAGTTCGCAAGGCTGGGCGGGGTTGTGAGCAGGCTTTCATTTCATCTTTTCTTATTATTTCTTACTATTTCTGCTTTTCATCTCATTACAAAAATTGCGCATTTTTCTCCATCTGCGCATAAAATCTAGACCGACAACCTGCTTTTTAAATCATCCACCTGCTTTCAGGCGTAAAAACCCTGTTGTAGAGGTCTCAGTCCTCATTTGTTAGACTTACCTGTCTTTATAAATTAATGTAACTTTCTCTCTCTCTCTCTCTCTCTCTCTCTCTCTCTCTCTCTCTCTCTCTCTCTCTCTCTCTCTCTCTCTCTCTCTCTCTCTCTCTCTCTCTCTCTCTCTCTCTCTCTCTCTTCTTTCTCCGTGTGTGTGGTGTGTGTGTGTGTGTGTGTGTGTGTGTGTGTGTGTGTGTGTGCGTGTGTGTGTGTGTGTGGCAGGCCGCATCACCGGCTGAGCTTGTCCAGAAGTTTGGCGGAGATCGTGTAGTCGACAGGGTACGTGGTTTGGGTCGGTGATTGCCAACTTTGGCTAAACCTACTTTACAGTCTATGTTTCATCAAGGGTTGTGTTTGCATTTAGTACTGGCATTGCTTCTCTTCCATAGTGACAAGTGAATTATTGTAGTTTAGTTTGCATTCCTCAAGATGCGAAGACTCCACTGTAGATCCCTTATTCATTCCACAATCGTACAATCTTCTTGTGTTTTTTAAGGCTGTGTTTACATGAAGCGTTTCAACCCGGGTTGAGTTCGACCCGGGTCAGATTTCAACCCGCCATGTGCACAAAGTGAATGGCGCGTTTACATGACGCATTGCGCTTGACCCGGGTTGAAATTTTGCCCCGGGTTGATTTCAACCCTCCCCCCCCCCCCCAAGGGAAGGGTTGAAATCAACCCGGGTCAAGAAAATCGTACAAACGTACTTCTGTGCGTATCTCGCGCCAGGTTTGAACGGCACTGCAGATGCACATTTCGCGCGAACGGATTCATGTGACCATACAGGACTGTAGAAGTGGACTTTTGGCGGCATATCAGTATTTGACCCGGGTCAACTGTCTTCATGTAAACGCTCACCTCTTTTGTCTATCGTACAGACTTTCAACCCCCGGGCTGAACTCGACCCGGGTTGAAATTTCCCATGTAAACACAGCCTAACAGGTTAAGTAATAAAATGGAAAATGGGAAATTCTATAAAAATATTTCTTGTGCCGTCATAATTATATCATGTCCACACACACACAATTTGTGTGTGTGTGAAGTAGCAAGGTTTATATCCAGAACGTCAAACATACAAGTCAAACAAATAAGATGTGCTGCGTACCCGCCGTGTTAGTCGAAGTGTTACGTTTAACCCTTTATGTACTGAAAAATTGTACACAGACTGAATTTGATCTCGACTTTCGAGCTTCGTAACTCTGGAACCACACATCGGAGCGCTTCAGCGATTGTTTTAATGGACAGCTGGGAGTTTTCTCTTTGACTTACATATTTTAGTTTTTGGATATAACCCAGAAATGACTGAGTTACGATCGATTGAAAATTTGAAAAGTTTCGATCCCAGGGGATCGAAAGTTGTACAGTCCGTACACAAAGGGTTAACATACAATTTCTCAAACAATATTAATGAGAACGACCAACTTCTTCAATCGCTACCGCCAAAGCCGTTATTTCTAAGTTCATATTATTCGCATTTTCTAATTTTCAGTATAAAACGGCGGTGTGGAGATAATAAGTATTAATACAATAAAAAGAAATAGTTGTGTCGTCCTGTCCACACACACACATACACACACAAAGCAAAGTAGCAAGGTTTGTATCCAGAACGTCAAAATAGAAAATGCGAATAATATGAACTTAGAAATAACAGCTTTGGCGGTAGCGGTTGAAGAAGTTGGTCGTTCTCAGTGTGTGCTCCGGACGGAAGTCATTCGCCAGGAAACATGAGCGCCGTGTTGGAAGCAGCCAAGTTCTTCAAGGAAAATACAAGACACGAAATGCACCATGGCAGGCTTACATTTTGCACTATAATGGCTGCTTTTATATACTGTACTGCCGCTGTGGAATCTGCACAGTGTTCTTCTTTTTCATGTCATTGTGTCGTGGCATGTGTGTTGTGTCATGTCCTGTGCTGAGCAGCAGCCTTAGCTCTCACGTCACAAGGCAGGGGAAATGCGCCACCTATTACCACAGTGTAGTGTAGGTTTCAACTTTCAGCTAGCGTAACGAGTGCATGTACATTTACATGTGTAATGATGGCTTTGCTTTTTGTATTCTGCAATGGCGCAGGTTCTTATCGCCAACAATGGCATTGCTGCTGTCAAGTGCATGCGCTCACTTCGCCGCTGGGCGTACGAGATCTTTGGCAATGACCATGCCATCTTCTTTGTCTCCATGGTTACACCGGAAGACTTGAAGGTAAGTCCAGAAAAGGAACAGTTTTTGGTAAATATGGTCTGAGTCTGAATCTTAAGGAATTTTAGTATGGGCCGCACTCCAGAGGTATGAAATTACACTCTCCATGGAGGCAATAGTTTGTTGCAAGTTTGCAACTGATTGTACCCACATGCGTGTATGTGTGTGTGTGTGGGGGGGGGGAAATACGCTTCAGCCTTCAGGGTGAATATTCAGGGTGAATCTTGTAGAGCTTTCTTTCTGAGAACCAAAAATTACAGTACATTCGTTGAAAATATGATGCAAGCATTTGGCTCTGGGTTGGATGCAGTGCCATGCAAAGCATTATGTAACTTAGGCTTTGCACAAAGCTTCTTGGGCTCAACGACCACGTGGTGTTTGTTGTAACCAAGGTCATAGTTTGCAAGAGGTATGGAACCGGTCTATTTTGTAGTTGATACAATTAAAATAGCAGGCCCTGGTCTGAAGAAACCAGTGCCTCTTGCAGTTGATGTCATGGTTTATCAAACTCCTCGCACTCCTGAACTTTTACGAAACTTGGGGCATGTCGAACCCATAATTCCTACCGTGCAATTAGTCCGTGGGGCAAGTCTCAGAAATGGCTCAGAAAAGAAGATGCCTTCCACCCCACCCACCCCCCCCCCCCCCCCTTTCGAAGTGGTTTTCTCGACGTGGTTGGCTAGGGATGGGTTCACTGAGTTGTCTCGACGATCTTGGCAGTCCAGGAACCGTGCGACTACCTTGCTACGGGCCTTTTTAGTCGCCAATTGCACCAACAAAATTTCAGTATTCGCGCGATTTTATGCTGCGAGCAGCGGCCGATTAAAAAACCCTGCATGCATTTGATTCAGAAGCGATTTATAGCGCAGCGAATTCTCGGAATACGTACGGTAAGCAAAGTGTAACCAATGTTTTCTTAGTTTTACGTTCGACTTCAATCTGAACAAGTGCATTTTTTTGTCAAGATAACTGGAAGTGGCTTCGGCTCGTGGCTGTTGTACTTGTAGACCTACAACTACTTGCAGTAGACTGCCTACCTGCTGGAAGTATGTTCTCTAGCCCTGCTGTGTTGTGCTTTGAGACTGGCCCTGAAGCGGAGAAAGATGAGGATAGCCCGTGCTCGTAGTGGGGCCTGAAAACTCATCAGTTCGAAATATGAGCCAGCGCACGCTAAAATATGACCACAGACCAAAAATTCGATTTTCAGTTTTTTGTTCAAAAATGATCAAACACACCTAATGTTCGCTGTCTGAAAGTTTTGGATTGATCTGACATGTCTAAGTGTTGCTGCAATGGTATTATATGCAGCACTGTTGAAGTGGTGAAGTTCTATGTACAGCAATGGGATTGTCATTTTTGCACACAGTTGATATGTCTCTTGGTTCATCCTTTAGGGGTCAGTTCCTCTGTCCAGGGTCTTATAGCATGAGCTGACAGGTACTCAGCCACATCCAAAATTTCTATAGGCAGCTGAGCTGGGTGTCCGAAATACCTCCTGTGTGGAGCACCATTGGAGAACTGCCAGCGAAAACACGGTCAACATCTGTAGATGGCTGAAGAAGTTGGCACTCCACGCCCTCTCCATCACACTCCACATGTACTTTCAGATATACAGTATACACCGCTACACACAGTCTTCTTCAACATACTCGACGTCGCACTCATATTCCCAACACCAAAGCCCATCTGCACACGGTTTTCTCCGCTCGCCAGAGAGTACTGCTTTCGCTGCCTACTGCTCGTGCTAGCGATGTTCCGCATAAGAGTACTTCAAGTGAAGTACTCAAATTATCGACTTGAGCAAGTTGAGGGAGCAGCAGAGTCAATTGATTGTTTTTGCACTTGCAACCAATACTGGCATTGTCCCGGATATGTGCAGCGATGTCCGTTCTGGCCAAATCATCGGCCGCCTCACCTCCCAAGTCAGTGTCGATGCCAATTGCTTTCCAGGTTTTCATCAGAGTAGAATTGCTCATCACTGCAGATCGTGGGACTACCAGCATCAATTCTTTTACGCTCGATTAAAGTGTAGCCCTCAAATGACTCGTCGCTGTAGCCATCATGATCATCATCTTCCTTCTGTTTCTGACCCGAATCCTCAACATATTTTATCCTGCGCATGGAGTGCGAGGATGTCGTCTTCTTCTGCTCCGCAGTACATTACCACTACTAGGCTCTTCCGTCGATACATCGATGACGATCAGTTTTAGGCGACTCAGCGCAACATGGAATACCAACTCAAACAAATTAACTTACTTGCAACAAAGAAATGCATCTGGAAGTCCAGTCGACCGAGGAGAACAACAACAGCGACTCCCGTTGCACTGCACTTCGTAGTTTTTGCCGCGGAATTCAAATCGCGATCTTCTCGACTTTTTCCAAAAAAGCTGTGGTCATGTTTTAGCGCGCTCTGGCTCATATATATTTTGAGAAACGACGCAATAGCGCAAGTCATGCGATACAAGTAAGGCCACTGTGATATGTTTCATTGTCATTGTCCGCGCATGAACCAGACACATGCCATTTCAGTCAGGTTGATGCAACGCCGTCTTAATTTGGTCCCAGTGAGCCATAGCAAAGTCGCGGGCATGGTGGATGCTACATGAAGACCAATCACAGCGACATCCGTGTCTTGCGCAGTGATGACGATTGTTCGGAACTGTTCAGCTGCATGTTGAGCATGCACAAACATTCTAGTGTCGGCTTCCTCATGGTCACAATCCATCTGTGTCATTCGTTCACGAACAACACAGCCATTTGCAGATGTTAATTCATCGCATTTATCTCCATAGCATACTAGAAGCCTCGTGGAGCCGATAGTACCTGCATACTTGGATGAGGCCCATTCGTCCACTAGGAACTTGCAGAGATCTACCTTGTTCTCATCAACTGATAAGAACTTCTTCCATTGCTTCGGGCTGGCTTGTTGGCTACTATTGACTTTGACACGGAGAACCCTTTGAGCTGTGCGGGGTGTTTGCTCGTATGACTTTGTAGAGACGAGAGGATATGTATCAATGACAAAGTCAAGCCTCTGAGGCGCTTGTCCACTGGGGTGAAATGCCATGATGCGCTTCAAGACATTAGCTGCAACCTCTCCAAATGTAGATCCTGGCGCGGACATTGATTGCAACACAGCCATACCATCAATGATGACTGCTGTGCGTTCGATCGGCACTGTGTCCATGTACTCGGTGTCCTTCTCCAAGAGCCGCATTAAGTCCGACTTTGCCGTCTTGTAGAAACCTCCCTGTGGTGTAGCAAGAGACCAAGGCACAGGTCCTAGTGAATCGGTGAGGACTTCCTTCAAATCCAGCTTTCTTATCTCGGATATAACCAACATTCGTGAGAAGAAATCTCTGTCAGCCTCAATGATGATGCTACGGCCTTTGGCAACACACACTCGTTTTGAGTGCATGGATGAAAACGTCTTGAGCTTCAGTTTTGATACGGGGCATGGAATGAGACGGAACCGGTGATGAGTCTCTCTGCAATGAACTTCTGCAAAGCAGCTTCTCCAGTGGTACATGCGCTAAGCAGCCCTTCCTTGATTTCTGCTGTGGCAACCTGTCCGCTTGCTACATTCAGGAGGTCTTCTGTTTCAGATATTGGACTGCAAGCAAACGCGTCCACAGCGTTAATGACCTGCACAGAATACCACACAGGAGGAAGTCGAAAAGTAATTTTTGGCTTAGTACTTGAAATGTGTAGCCTAACGTTAAGTTGACTTTGACCTGCACCTTGTACCGAAAATTCAGAAGAATTGTTTCATTCACCATGGTAAGCTTCACTGCAGCACTTGTATGACAAGGAAGTTGTTCTTGAAAACTACTGTGCATGTACTTCTCCCACATGGAACACATTTCAAAGTTTTGTTACATAATATTATAATTACCTTCAGTGTGTCTTGTTCGTCTCGCACCATTCTGCTTGGTCTGGCATTCTTGTGTTGGTTGCTGGGTGGATGGTTTGGTTGAATAGTAGCTCCTCGTTCCATTAAAGTGTCACACGCTGCTGTCATAGCTGCCCGCTCATGTGCCGTAGCCATCCAACGCGTCACAGCCGCATAGTTCATTGTTTTGCCTATGATGCCTCCTTTAACCTTGGTATGCTTGTTCACAGTCTGCTCAATGGCCTGGTCGACAGCAACCTGCGAGAATGGCAGCTCTGATCGCTGTACAGCAAACTCTCCAGCAGACAACACCTCATGTGCATCCACATTTGTGTGCGGCAACTGAGTCATTTGGGCCCAATACAACGTCAAGTAGCGGCAGTAATTTGTGCAGGCATAGGCAAAAACCCACGGAAGCATTTGCCTAATGGAATGCAGATGCAAGGACCAGTGGCTTTCCCGGGACAGGTCTCCTTCGAAGTGCTTTTTCAGCCGTCATTTCAGCTTTTCGGCACGATACTCCCTGCCTAATCTGCTGCAGAACAATTCTCTAATTGACGACATCTGGAGGACTTGCCGTTGCTCAAACACTGCATCCGAGACGACACTGGCAACAAATTCGAATGCTCTTACATAGTCGTTGTCGTCATCTGAACTTCCAGCATCACTATCGGAACTGGAGACTGCTCCACTGCCTCTCACTATCCTGGTGAACCTGTCATAACATGCTTTGTGATACTTTACTTCCAAAGCAAAGACATTAGGACCGGGAGAGCACACTGCCAGCTTAATCCTGGTGTTGTCACGAAGCTCTGCTGACTTCAGTCTGTCCATTGCAGAATCCATCTCGCAAGACACCAAGCGAAACTTTCTTCGTTTCTACAGCTTCGTGTTTGTTTGGCAGATGACGCATAATGTGTAGTCGGTGGTAGGGACATACCCGCACATCTTACGTCTCACATTCGTGTCTTCACGTTCAGTCTCAACGGACGGCGCTGTAGCCTGAGTTTCAGGTGGACATTGTTGTTGCCTCTTCAGGAAACGGTTGACATTACTCTTGCTCGTGTAGTCCTGGTAGCATTTGCGATGGTAGAAACCCTGTGCATTACTCTCATCAGTGACACCAGATCTGAAGAAGAAGTCATGCGTTTCATCCCCGACACCACGCTGTTTGGCTACACAATGCAAGCGCTGCCACGACTGTGCTGATACTGCCACAAGCTTGGCACCATCACCCTTTAGCCTCCTGTTCCAGTCATGACAGATGCAACTGTTCCAGTCAAGGCGTTTCACTTTGCAACTGGGCGATACAATAGCCTCCACAGAGGTCTCAGCGTCTTCCATTCGTATTACATCACTGGACAACTAGAGCTATGTGTGATGTTATACTAGTGCTACTTACAGGCGCGTACGCAGGGGGGGTTTCCCGTTGCCCGGAAACCCCCAAATGTTCCAAACGAGCAACGTTTTTTGGGCATTTTTGGTAGGGCGCATGATCGATCTGGCAAGAATGCAAAACTTCAAAAGATCGTAACTCAGTCAAATCTCGCTCAAATCCAACGATCCAAATTTCCAGGTCGAATAGAAAACTCTCAGCTGTCGGTAGAAATAATTAATTAATTTTGCGAAGCGCTGCGAGCAATGTATTGTGAGATAAATCATTCGTAAGTTGAGCCGCGATCTCGGCAATTTCAAAAGCGCGCAGTGCGACTTGAGTATCGAGATTTTCGTCGCGCTGATTAGCTCAAATTTGCAGGGGCTTCACTTGTGATATTTTCAAGAGTAGACAGCAAAAAAATCGAAACTCTGCGATCAAGAAAAACGAAATCGCTGGATCATGGAGCAGGATGCGTTTGAGCCTGTTTGGGGCATTTTCGCACCGTCGCTGCACGCTACCGCTATAGCCTATAGCGCTGGATATGTGCATGACTGTACTGTGTCCTGGCTATTCATGGTCGACCTCATTCTCTCCCTGGTACCTTTCCACTTCCAGGAAGCCCAAGATAATGAAGATTGAGTGAGTAGAACTGAAGTTCTGATCCAAACAACACGAAAAAATGCATAATTTTGAAATTTTCCTAGGGCTCTTTTAGAAAGGGTTAAAACTTAAAACTCATTGTTTGGGATTCGGTTGGAAACCCCCCTAGAGGTGACCCTGCGTACGCGCCTGACTTACTACAGTATACTGCTTCACAAACGCTACTTCAAAAGATGTAACTATTGTTGAGGGCGTCCAGATCAGGAGGTCAGCGACGTTGACTATTTCCTACTATTGCTATGAATCCTTCTTCCTCAATTCACCGTAGCTCTGCGGCTAGTGAAGGTAGCAACTATCCACTACCAACGACATACAGTACAACTTCCAAATTCTACGGACAGGAAAATTCACCGACTTGGCACGGATGTCACCTTTTGTGACAACGATTGCAGTACTTGGTTTCAGTTTGAAAATGGACTCTTTGCACGAAAATAGTTTCAACGAATCTCGCACACTGTGTGGCAAAGTGATCTGGCTGAAACATCTCCGTGTAGATGGAGGAACTGGACTTCGGACTGGTCGACTCTCTCTCTCCCTAGGTAAACTGAAGTGAAAATGGGAAAACAGTGTCACGTTTATGGGTAGGGGTCAGTGTGCAGCGAAGGGTATCATCATGCGTATAACAGCTACGCTCATTTAAGCCGTCCGACAAGGGAAAGCAAACCGAGGAGGAGTGGAAAGACAAATTTAGAAATAAACAAAAACTGGTGGGAAGAAGAAGGAGAACATCACCGGAGTAGCACGCAGACTGTAGGTATGACATGCTGTGTGGAGGGAGAAGGATTATAGTCATCAGGTCACGCGATGATACTAGACTTGAGCACCTGGTGAAACCTAGTTGTATCGAGCAGCCCTCGTTGAATCAAGTCAGTGCGACTTATAAATTATAATCTAATGATTTTGACAAACCAGAAGGATTTCGATGACAGAAAATATCCCAAAATCGACAATTGGCGAGGCAAATAAAGCCTCATAGCTACGTTGTCGCACGTCCCCTGGCTTGCCAACATTTTCGAGGGTGCTCAGTGAACCAGTCCCGACCCAGCCACGTCGAAAAACCTCTTCGGCAGGGGGGGGGGGGGGGGGGGGGGGTGGGGGGTGGGAGGCGATTTCACATTCTGGCACTTGCCTCACGGACTAAATGTAGTGTGCGGTTTGGCAATTCTTGTCAACGGTTTCGTGATGTTGTGCATTGTAAACCGTTTGTCTCTGTGCAGGCTAATGCGGAGTACATCAAGATGGCCGACCAGTATGTGATGGTACCTGGTGGTAGCAATAATCACAACTACGCAAACGTTGAAGTCATCGTCGATGTCGCACTCCGCACCAATGTGCAGGTATGGTGATCATATTGAGAGTGGCCTGTGCTACATGAACACTGTAATGTGGTATTTTAGACATGGGTCATTCGTGCCGGTAGATGTCATCGTGAGTCATGTGAGCAGTTTACATGTATCAGCAAGAGTATGACCCCAAGAAATGTTCGATTCTGCATGGGGAGCCAGAATTGCAAGTCGACCGACATTGTCGTGTACATGTACACACAGGCGCTCTTTATCGTCTAGCATAGCAAGTTGCGTTCTTTTCGGGGAGGGGGGGAGGGGGGAGGGATCCTGGGTACAAAATACCCGTAAACGATGTTCGTGTCGCTAAAGAGAGGCTTATTCGACCAAATTAATGGAGAAACACAGTAAGTATAGTTATATTATACAGTGCTGCTCAATGAAATCCGATCAAACGAGTGAATGCCACGCCGGGCGCTGTGCAGCCCTAGACCTGCAAACACTAGGATGTGAACTGGTACAGGGTACAGGGTGCAAAACTTGATCCACGCCATTAGATTTCATTGTGCAGCACTGTGCAAGTGATGCAGATCAATGAGAGCATTTGTTAAATACATCACGTGACACTCAGAGAAGTGACAAATTAGCCTTGCTTTCCCTTGTTGTTCTGTGTATTACGCTCTGCCTCCGCAGTGTTGAGCACTGTCAGCACACTGGGTGCATCCTCCGGTTAATTATCGTATCAAAATACTTATAAATAGGGATTGAGAGGGCTTGGGAAGATCTAGAAATCATCAAAGTTACAGTCTTTGTCGTATTCATGCACAGCCGAAGCTTGTCGAAATTCAAAGAATTCACAGATAGAGATTTAGTGACTGCGGCGGAGGCTTCACTGGATGTACGTCGGCTGGCATACAACGTGATCTTGGCAGCGAACATTGGGAGCTTACAGAAAAAGGCCACTGCTGTCAGTGGGAGCTTCCTTATGTAGAGGTTAAACAGAACTGGACCCAGAATGGTGCCCCGCAGCACGTCACTAGTGACTGGCACTAGGGGAGACATTCCAGTGTGGGTAACCACCCGCTGTTGTCTGCCGCGGAGGTACGATTAAAACCAGACCTGGGCCAGTCCGGAGATACCAACAGCTGCACGGGCAAGAACAAGCTGCAGCACGTCTTGCCGTATCAAATTCTTTCTTTCGAGTCAGTGCACACAACTGCCGTGTGCAGTCCAGCGTCGTGTGAGACAAACCAGTCGGTGGTAACCTTCGTGAGAAGTTGTCCGGTAGAACGGTGTTTCCGAAAGCCAAATTGGTCAACATGGAAAGGGAAACATGTTGAGACGAGAAAACACAAGCGCCTCCGGAAGTTCAGCTAGGGCGTCCGGTTGTTTTTGGTGTTGCTTGTCATGTGCAATAATATTCCCTACAAGGAGGATTCTTCGGTCATGTCTGCTGTTGCTGTGTGGTGGAATGAAGTGTTCAAGTGTAGCAGAACAAGATCCAATCTATCCTTGTACTCGGCGAAATCGCCGTGATCGAATAACTCCAGCGTGGCTCTTGCTGCCATCGTAGAAAATTGCAGTACTAATCAAACGAATGTGTAAAAAGGAACCATCTTCGTCGCCATTTGTTATGTCTTTCCAAACACACAACAAGGGAATCTCAATCAAGTTACCTTTCCAAACTCTTACTTCATGAACAAGAAACAACTAACTCCTTGCGCATGCGCACTAATCCTAATATGTAGGAATGCCATTACTCTAGTGTCTGATAGCTGTGTACATGATATATAACAGAAGCCATCTCGGTGACTAGGTGCACACTGCTGGAGGTATTCTAGCAGCATGTGGTGGTGGTCCTTACCTCTACTCGCATACTTGCAACATTTTAAAGGGTTCCCAGATACAGTAGTAGACTATGAGCAATGGCATGTGTTTACTAGCACCGTTGTGACAGCAATATGTTGTACTGTCCTGCTTTTGACAATGTTGATTCCTTTGTGCAATACTCTGTTTGACTTCTTCCTCCACACCTGTGTCTTCTGCAGGCTGTTTGGGCTGGCTGGGGTCATGCATCTGAGTACCCGCGTTTGCCTGAATCGTTGCTTGAGCACGACATTGCTTTCATCGGTGGGTGCACTGGATTGGGCTCGACTTTCTAGACCCCTAGAGTTGTAGACAAGATTAGATGATGCACGAGAAGGAAGTAGGCTGATGAAGTAACTTGACTCTAGAAGATTGTGCTGCATTTTCTTTTTTTCATTCACGGAATAAAAATACGTTTTCCCCCCTTGAACTGATGCAACTGATGTACTTCGAAGTACATGGGTCACTGGCAAAATTTAAAGTGTTGAGATTACTGCTGCTGTTAGATGACCCGTCAACCTATGTCTTCTATGTCATTCCTTCTGTTGAAGCAAGCTTGTCTTGGATGTTTGCACTGCCCCTGCTGGGCTTCCACCATCTTGCGTACTTTGATTTTAAACATGTCTACATGCCTTCGTTGTATTTCTTTCTTTGCCCGTTTCACTCACCATGATACAGGTCCCCCTGCTCAGGCTATGCGTGCACTGGGTGACAAGATTGCGTCGTCCATTGTCGCCCAGACCGCCAATGTACCTACTCTGCCGTGGAACGGTTTAGGTGAGGGACTGCTATCGGTGCACATCGATATTGAATTCATTGATGCTACCCAGTGAACACACTGATCGTCTTTTCATGCACCATATCGATACTAATGTTCTCTATCACTGCATGTACAACATGTTTTCATGGAGGTGCAATACTGGTAGTATTGAGCAACTCTCCGACTTTCTCCGGAAACAAAAACTCCGTGACTTTGATCGACCTGTCAGTGCTGGTGAATCGCGCTTTGAGGAATCGCGCTTTGGTGACTCCGAATGGGACTCAAACAGTGTATATTTCTTTTGTGCTCGTATAATAATTGTACATACTAAAAAAAAGTATATCCACTCATCTTGAATCGTTTTTGTTCCACTGAACCAAATTTCTTGAGCACAGTAGCTCCTTATAATGTGAACATAAGAAAGTCACAAAGTTGTCATTTCCGGAGAAAGTATTCTCCATCTTTACTAGTGCTTTGCACTTGTTCTATCAACATGTCCACCGTTAAGTGCACACATGCACACGTCATGATCATGATTGTTACATACCAAGGCCAAAGCCAATGCCATCCTTGTGTTATCACTGTGACCAGATCTGACCATTCCCGGAGTGGATTCTCTACCAGCCGGTACCATCGTGACCGTGCCACAGGATCTCTATGAGAAAGGTTGCGTGGAGGATGCTGCTAGCGGTTCAGAGGTGAGCTTATGTGATTGCTGCCTGATTGTGTCTGGGAATTCCCAGTGTTTGATTGCGGAACAACTAGACGCACAGCGTGGTTGGTCGAAATGATGGTGTCATTTCAACCTCTTGGAAGGATGGGACAACATGAACCTGGGCTCATTCTCGCTTGCTCGCTCCTACTTGTCTTTGCGTGATGATTTTATCCCACTATTTTTTTAACAAAATTATTGTTTCTGTTTGTGTGTGTGTGTGTGCATGCGCTTATGTGTGTATGTGTGTGTATGTGTGTGTATGTGTGTGCGCGCGCATGTGCGTGTGTGTGTGTGTGTGTGTGTGTGTGTGCGCATGTGTGTGTGTGTGCATGCGTGTCTATAATGTACATGCTTACGCGTACCTGGTTGTGTGTAGGCGGCGCTTCGCATTGGCTACCCAGTGATGATCAAAGCTTCGGAGGGTGGTGGTGGAAAGGGTATCCGTCGCTGTGATACAGACGCTGACTTTCCCATGATGTTCAGACAGGTGAGGCGAACTATCTCTGTAGGTTGTAATAGTACTGTACATGCATTATGCTCTAAGTTCTATGTATCGGTCTGGTGGTGGCATGTGGCCATATCTCATTGGGATGATTTCAAATACAACTTTTCTCTCAAAAGCCCTTTGCCATTTTTGAATCGTTGTTACTGTCTTGGTCGTTGTTGTCGTTATCGACGAATCACCGTCTAAGTTGTTCTTCTTGTGCTTCTTGTACTCGTTTGTCAATGTCCTCTGAACAACAATGTATCCTGGTTGTGTCTGATGGCAGGTCCAACTGGAGGTACCCGGCTCACCCATCTTCATCATGAAGCTGGCCACAAAGTAAGTGAAGTGGACACCAAGTCTAAGTTCTGATTTGCTGTTTTGTGGATTTCTACTGTTCGATTATTTGTGAACTCTTCCATTGTGTATTCATTGTTATTCCCTTTTCTATATGTGCTAGTAGCAGTGTGTGTGTGTGTGTGTGTGTGTGTGTGTGCGTGCGTGCGTGCGTGCGTGCGTGCGTGCGTGCGTGTGTGTGTCTGAGTTGAATTGTTCCTTTCTTCTACATTGTCGATGCTGTGCTGTCCAGTGTTCGTCATCTTGAAGTCCAGCTGCTTGCTGACAAGTACGGAAATGCCATCTCACTTTTCGGCCGTGACTGCTCCATTCAGCGCCGTCATCAGAAAATCATTGAGGAAGCACCTGCCGGTATTGCTGATCCCGATGTTTTCGTCGAGATGGAAAAGGTGTGTTGGCCTTGTGCTGGTCATTGTGTTTGTTTAGAGCAAAGAGTTATGGGTAGGCAAGGACGCGCATCCAACATCACTGTCCCTGAAGCCTTTGTCTTAGCCGAAAACAGACATGAATGGAACCTTTTTTTACTCACAGATACGTAGGGCTCAATCTTGAGTGATATGCGAGCTGTTCTTGTTGTGATGATTAAGGATGCGTATCTTGTGTTTCTTATCTTGTAAGCTGGTGTTTGCCTATGCTCATCTCCGTTATTTTCACAGCACATGCTGTACATTATTGTTATGGTGTGTTGCTTGTGTGCACACTAGGCTGCTGTACGTCTAGCTAAGATGGTGGGATACGTCAGTGCTGGTACTGTGGAGTACCTGTACAGTGCTGATGGTGGCTTCCACTTTCTCGAGCTAAACCCGCGCCTGCAGGTCGAGCATCCGTGCACGGAGATGGTCGCTGACGTCAACCTCCCGGCCTGTCAGCTGCAGGTGAGGCAAGCCACGCTCTTCACGTATACAAGGGCATAGCTCGCACATATGTGGTGTGGTAACCATGTCCCACCGGCAACTTCTTACCGTAGTTCCGCGCATATAAGCCTATGGGCCTATATCCGGATATAAGCCCACCTCCGTTTATAGGCCCATGGGCTAATAAACAGACCCAAACACCGTTACGGAACCGATAGTACAGCATGTCAGTGCAGACTACATTACCAGTACCGGTACCTACATGTACGTTAGGCGGACAACCGCGCACGGACTTGTACTTTTTCGCGTGCCAGCTGCCTTCAAAATTCGAATATAGGCCCAGGGCTAAAAAACGAACCATTATTACTAATTTTTTCCCGGGAAAATGCATTATTTCGTATATTCGCCCATGGGCTTATATGCGCGGAACTACGGTAGCTGTCATTTTGCCTATTTTTGCCTATAATAGTGCCGATGACGGCCATTTTCTGGTGTGATGACCACACTACACTGACTATACACGAGCCAAGCGCCTGTGTATATGCTTGTGCCGATGATTTCTCCTCCTCTGTTTGAATCTGATGTCGGTCACTGGGTGTTTACGCATTGTCAATACAGTGATCTTGACTCGCGATGTTCACAATTTTCAGTAACACATTCCCTAATAGTTGTGACCGTGTCCATCACTCTTCAAGTCTTGAGGCTGAGCAGGAATCAGGCACTGCGGGTTGCACCAGGCAGAGGTGCCAGCGAATATTGAGATCAGGAACCCATTCCGTTCCAGGAACTGCTGAATGTGTTTCTACCTTCTGCTCATATTTATTGTGCCATGGACTCAGTTAGTTCCTAGGTGCTTATTTGAAAAGTTTCTATCGTATCCTGTCATTGTTGTTCTTTTTTGTTTGTCACCAGGTTGCGATGGGCTTGCCTCTCAATCGTATCAAGGACATCCGCATTCTCTATGGCCAGTCACCTTGGGACAACACAGAGATTGATTTTGATAAGTGAGTCTCGCCTGGGATCTGTTGAGGCCGTTCGTAGCTTCACTTCTTCATGAGACTACCTTGCAGACTTTGCCAAAATCCTTCGAATTTTTCTATTGGTTTCCTGAAGTGATGCCATTGCTGTGTCAGGTCAATCTGACCGCTGCAACACTTGGACGGTTTCTTATGTCTCAAGTTAATTATTTGTCACCGTCTTGTGTGTCGGCTTCCTTACTAATACCACTGCATGTGTGTGTGTGTGTGTGTGTGTGTGTGTGTGTGTGTGCGTGCGCGCATGCGTGTGTGTGTGTGTGTGTGTGCGTGTGTGTGTGCGTGTGTGTGTGTGTGTGTGTGTGTGTGCGTGCGTGTGTGGACCTGTGCTATTTTCTAGCCCTGTCCCTCGTCCTGTGTGTCATGGTCATGTCATCGCAGCTCGCATCACATCGGAGAATCCCGACGAGGTAAAGTTATTTCCCTACTAATATTCAGTTACCATGGCCTTTTGTTGTCTTTTTTTTTGCCATCCTTCTATCTGTCCCTACACACCCTGTTACGTTGTGTTCATACTGACGCGAACAACACCAGCGGAATGGAGCAGTTTGAAACCGTATATGCTGGTCACTTTCAACGTTCCTCCTTCTTCAAGTCGATCAAGAACCAGCTAATTGATGTTTGATTTCCCTTGACCAGTCTCTCCCATCTCTCCTGAGTCATGGGATCAATTCCCACCACTGCCATCAAGATAGAAACAGGACAACTCTCACTACTGGCCCTAGCCCTTGTCATCTCCACTCTCTGACGAGTAAACCACGTTTCAAATCTGACGAGCAAACTACACTTCGAAGACTATTAGATGGAGACGGAACTGCCGAAGAGACACTGAAAACACAAACTTGATGCCAATTACTCATTTACGCCAACACAGCAGCAACACATTGCATGCATCAACACTACGAGTACGTATGTATGATGACGCAAACCAGATATACTAACTAAATACTTTGAAGTAAATATACATGACGGTATGCGTGTACATGTTGTATTGCGATGTGTTGCAGGGCTTCAAACCAAGTGGTGGCAATGTCACTGAACTTAATTTCCGCTCCAACAAGAACGTGTGGGGCTATTTCAGTGTGGCTGCCAGTGGTGGTCTGCACGAGTTCGCCGACTCTCAGTTTGGGCATATTTTCGCCTGGGGCGAGGATCGAGAAGAGGCCCGAGAGTGAGTAACAACTGTCTAACTATCTTGCCATACGTGTTCATGATCTGCATGTTTACCGGTGCATGTGCATAGAGTTCAGCTGTGTTGTGTTTCTGTGTTTGTATGAGTACGTGCATTGGACGTTTGCGCGGAGGTACGCTTAATTACATGTTAGCTCTGTAGTTCTTGTGTGAAGCCAAGTAGTGCTGAGACTACTGGGGAGGACTGTTTGTGCTGTGTTGATATATCTTGCGTGTTTCCGTTGCATTGTTGTTTCTCCACACTCAACCCAGGAATATGGTGGTAGCCCTGCGGGACTTGTCCATCCGTGGCGACTTCCACACCACGGTCGAGTACCTAGTCATGTTGATGGAGACGGAGAACTTTCTGAACAACACCTTCCACACTGGTTGGCTGGATCAGCTGATTGCAACGAAGGCCCGAGTGAGTTTGTAGTCCCTGCTGCTTTGGCGTGCATCAGGACGATCACGTATGGCTACCTTCTTATAGCGCTCGCTTGGCTATGTGCTTGGCTCTCACTCACTAACTTATTTCTCGAACACACACACACACGCACACACACACACACACACACACACACACACACACACACACACACACACACACACACACACACACACACACACACATGCTGTTGCTCTGCTGCATTCGTTGCTAACTTTCTTCCTGCCTTTTCTTTCCTGGTGCATATCCTGGTTCTTGTGTTCTTTTTGAATTTCTGTGTTTGAGTCTGTGTTTGAGTCTGTGTTTTGAGACATGATGACAAGCATTTCATTTTGCTTGGTTTGCATACAGGTGGAGAAGCCAGACCCGCTGTCCGGGGTTGTGTGCTGCGCATTACACGTGGCACACAATGATATCAATGGCAGTGTGCAAGAGTACAAGTCTTCCATTGAACGGTAGGTAGTGTCGCAGTGTGCCTTGGCTCTACGGGCACTCTTATCAGTCTTGTGTTTGGCAGTCACTCGGTGATGCACACGTACGCTGATCTTGCTTTTTAGACAGTCAGTCTCTGTACACAGGTGGAGATGTACAGCGCTGCGTTAATGAAATCCGATCGAATGAGTTAAGTACGCGCCGGCCGTTTCGCGGCCCTAGACCTGTGAACGCCGAGCTGTGAAATGGTGCAGGGCGCAAACTCGATTCGCACGATCGGATTTCATTGAGCAGCATTGTATACTGAGGAATGGCGTGGTGTGTGTGTCTGTGACTGCTCTCTGATGCATTTTGTAGTTCTCTTTGCCTGTACTTGTGTTTATTTATTTATTTATAAATTTATTCAACATCTTATGGCTTCCGATGGCAGCCAAAACGGGAAGATGTGGGTGATAGCCAACCATGGTAAACGAAGGAGAAGATTATATACATGAAAAGGAAACAGCCGAAAAGCTACATTGTATATTGATTAGTGATCACTGGCACTGTTCCTGCTGCTGATGGGGTTACAGCATTTTCGCAAGCAAAGTGCACTCAGTTGTATATTTTGTTGTCAGTATTCTAAATATGTGTTGTGCGCCCACACACGTACACATGCGTGTGCAATGAGCATGTAATAGTACTATGTGTGCACGTGCGTACATGTGTGCATGTTCCGGCCTGTTGTTGAATTGTGTTTCTATGTATGCAAACATGCGTACATGTGTGCATGTTGTGGCCTGTTGTTGAATTGTGTTTCATACAGTGGCCTATCCCCCACACCGGAAAGCCTTGTTTCTATGATCGACGTCGAATTGATCAATGATAACGTCAAGTATATCATGAAGGTAAGAATGTACCCCCTCCCCCCCCCCCCCCCCTCACGCTCACATGTTTAGCTGAATACTCATGTACAGTGCTGCTCAATGAAATTCAGTCGCGGCACTCAAGTTTGCGCCTTGGACCGTTTCGAAGCCCAGTGTTCTCAGGTCTCAGGCTGCGCAACGCCCGGCGCGTACATGAGTGACGCGACTGGATTTCATTGAGCAGTACTCTAGTTGTTTGGTCCAGTGATGCTCTTTGCTCGCCTGCTGTCGTTTCACATGCATTGGTTTTGATCCAGACTTGGTAGTGTACGCACCATGTACATGTACAGTCAGACCTCGCATAACCGCACACATCCGTTTTCCACAAAAAATATCCGGATAGGCGAGGGAACCGGATAATCGAACACACATACTGTATGTATGCATGGCATATGCTGTAAATCGGTAACCAACGATTTTCTTCCGGATGGCGAGGGATCCGGATAAAAGAGGACCGGATAGGCGAGGTCTGACTGTATTATAAAGCTCTGTTGTAGCTTGTGCTCTCTCTCTTTCTGCCAGGTTAGGCCTGTGGTTGCCTTGATGATGCTGGTGGTATCTTGGTTGTTCTAATTGTGCAGGTCACACGTAGCAGTCAAAGCTCCTACTTTTTACTCATGAACGAATCGTCGCTGGAAGTCGAAGTTCACAGGTGTGTGTGTGTGTGTGTGTGTGTGTGTGTGTTTGTGCGCGCGCGTGTGTGTGTGTGTGTGTGTGCGTTTACTGTGTGTGTACATGTTTTGTTACTTTCTGCCTGTGCTGAAACGTGTACTGCAGTGATTGCTTTTCCCTTCAGTGACGTCTTTAATAGTAGCAACAAGGCTACATGCAATGAATGTGCTTGTGTACTGCGTGTGACATCACGTTGCTCTACATGTATTAATCCCTATCTTGATTCTACACATTGCACTGGACATATGGTAGATATACCTACCAGGTCTCGCCGATTGGGAGCGGAAAGACTACCAGTGTACCTGAGAGAGTGAAATTCCTTCATTCATTTCTAGAAAACCCCGTCGGCATTCCCTCGATAATTCTCTTGATTTCTGTCTTTGAATGTGCTGTTGGCGCGTAGGATGACTGATGGTGGCTTGCTTCTCTCGACTGGCAGTAACAGCTTTACTACGTACATGATTGATGAAGTTGATAGGTAAGTCGTCCGAGGCACCGTGTCACAGTTCTGTGTGAATATGGATAAGCTAGTCAGTGGAGCAAGTGTGCCAGTCTCAGTAATGCTGATTGAAAAACTGTATGACCCACCGTACAGCCGTTTCTGTCTTTGTTATCGAATGTCGACACTCTGTTCTCGTGGATGCCTGGTTCAAGTGCCCTAGTTTACATCTATCAGTGTGTTGGGTGTTGTGCTAAGTGGACTGGTCGTATGCATTGGATTTGGTTTTTGTCTCGCCCTATGTCTTCGTAGGTATCGTGTTGTGGTCAACGGCAAAGCAGTCGTGTTCGAGAAAGAGAGAGATCCTACAAAGCTACGGTAAGGGCAGCTCATGCTTCGGTCTTCGAAGCCATGTGAATTGTGTTGTTGTCTCTATTGTAGGAGTCCAGCTTCAGCTGGTATGCTCATTGTTCCTTTGTACGTCTTAAAAGAACGCATTTATTCACAAAGCCAATCGTTTTGTACTACATGTATCAGTGTGTGGCAAGTGGAAAAGCACTTGTTCTGTTGGTTTAGGATACAATGTTGCTATACGCACATGGAACATATGTCGCCCTAACACACTAGTGTGTTGTGTTTATCCTGCTTAGATCACCGTCAACAGGAAAGCTGCTTACGTTTGTTGTGGCTGATGGTGGTCATGTCAATGCCGATGATCCGTACGCAGAGATTGAGGTGAGTGCTGCTGGCATGATGCTGCTGCTGCTTTGTTTTCTCTCATCTTCCATGGTGTCAGTGTGGTGAGGACTTTCGTCCGAACATTCCCAGTAGTCCACATGGAGCCACAGAATCTAACCCAGGGACGTATTCTTTACGTATTAAGTGATTTCAGGTCACCAGCAATTCTACGCTTCAGAGCCTTTGGAGCCGCGCTGTCTGCTTCAGCAACAACCAGATGTTGTGAGACAAGGCCATGGGGGTACGGGGTAAACACACGACAATGACGGGTTTGTATCCATGCTCAACACAGTTGTGGCGACTTGCAGAGGCTTGAGGATGGTCACGACTTCTTTCGCCAGATGCCACTGAGCACCAGTTCGCTTGAGATGGGAGCAGTTCTTCTCTGCAGCCAATACAGCCATAACAGAATTGCTGAGTTTCACCAGACGTTCCAGCATCAGGTACGTGGAATTCCATCTAGTGGCAGCGTCCTGGATAAGGTTGAGTGGCTTTTTCCAGCCAGCTTGCTCCTCCATCTTGTGTAGCTTTGTGGTCGCCAACGACGAATGATTTAAGTGGCCGACCATTTTCCTGGCAATGGACGCCACTCTGGCGACGGCAGCCTCCTTCAGTCCCTTGTGTTCGGAAGCTGCAAAAAAACTCCCGTGGACTCGATCGATCGATATGCGATCGGTATCGATCAGCCCTACAAACTATAGATCTAAATCTACAATGACGTAACGTATAGTGCGGAGCGGCGAACAACTAAATTTGGCGGAGACAACTCCAAATAGGCAACTCCCCTACGGACACAGTGTAAATCTACTACCCAGCTATCCTAACAGACTATGGACAGTATGGTGTAGCAGGCATGCACAAACACGGAAGACGGAAAATGTTCTGAAAAATTTAGGGCCTGACAGGTTGGCGGCAATGCGTGACCTATGAACGAAGCTGTACATGTAAGCATGCAACAACAAAAAAACAACGAGCAGAAAGAAACACAATACAGAAAGGAAAAATCGAAGAAGAGAGTGGATTAGGAAATGGTAGTTCACTTGCGTGGGCCTCTGTGGCCGAGTCTTCGTAGCAGACGATCTCCGAAGGCGTACACTCTCCGCCAGCGATGTATACGTGGACCAACTTCCGCTGCCACCAGTGTTAGCTCCCGGCTAAACGCAGTCCCCTCACACTTGCAGAACACTGGGCTATGGGTGTGCGTGCACAGAGCTGTAGCTACAGTAAATGTCTGCATTGCACCATGCCTGGTCCAATGATGCAGGCCCGGAGGAACCGGTCCGGTTGGTCAGGCCATGGCCGGGCCTACTTTTGGCTACCAATGTGTGTTTACTGTTGAGGAGGTCATGTATACACCATAGTATACCCTCCATGTCATACACAATGTATGAAAGGCTAGGGTATGGCCGGACCAATCAAAGACTGCTTCCGCCGGTCCTGTAATATGTGTGAATTGAACTTGACTTCTGTAACACCAATTAGTGTTGATTGGTGTGTGTGTGTGTGTGTGTGTGTGTGTGTGTGTGTGTGTGTGTGCGTGCGCGTGCGTGTCTATGTGCATGTGTCTATGTGCGTGTCTACGTACCTATGTGCGTATGTGCCTGTACTTAGGTTATGAAAATGGTGATGACGTTACGAGTGTCCGAAGCTGGCAAGTAAGTGCGTGGTATTTCACCGCTTGATAGTTTGATGTTACCCTTCCTTCTTTTTCTTTTTTTAAATAGAGCTCTTATGAGAGTAGAGTTCACTGTACGATTTAACTACAGCAGAGGAGCTGTTTAGTCCTGGAGCATGTATCACAGCTACTGTTGCCAGAGAAAGGTGCTGGGTGCTTGAACTATTTGTGTGGTCTATTTTCTCATTTTACATGCACCGTATTTTCCGGAGTATAAACCGCACCCAGATTTTTTTGTCACGAAATACAGACATCTACCCTGTATTTCACGTTTCGTTTGACCATCGTAGTATAGGGCTTTCTTTGTGTGAATCACGAGTGTTTGTAATGCGGCTTATACTCTGTTATTACGGTGGTACTTGATCCTGCTCACACACATGGCTTCAAGCAGGATGTGCAGAAAGTGCAGAATGAGAAGGTCTTGGTCACTGGGTCCATGTGTAGTCCAGAACAGCCCTGCTCAGACATTGGTCTCCTACGTGTGTATTGCTCACTCTGCTGCCAATGTGCATTCATTCATTCCACCGCTTCTTCTCCTATTCCCTTCTTTTGCAGGGTGGTGCAGATGAAGAGACCCGGCGCTGTTCTTGATGCCGGTATGATCATAGCTCAGCTGGAGCTGGATGATCCTGGTGCTGTGAAGCAGGTAGGTCATCATACACTGTATAATGCGAAAAAGTTGATCTGAGCTCAACTATTTCGCGTACGGGAAAGCCATCGCGCGACGGCCGCGCGATGACTTTCCCGTACGCGACATGAAGTACCACTATCTGTGTGGGGAATCTGTTGTTGTTGTTGTTGTTGTTGTTGTTGTTGTTGTTGTTGTTGTTGTTGTTGTTGTTGTTGTTGTTGTTGTTGTTGTTGTTGTTGTTGTTGTTGTTGTTGTTGTTGATGTGAAGATTTCACAGGGTTCTTGACTAAACTAGGGCCCAATAGCACTGTGATGTTTCTGCACGAATCAGTCTGGACTCTTGCCTTGTGATGTGGATTGTGTCATTTACTCTGCTGTGAAATGGATCCCAATGGGTGTCGGGGGAATTCATCTTTTCTGCTGAGCTGGCATGCAAAATGACTGTGTGCCCTGTTACCGTGAACATGTATGAGCTGTACTCACTGTGTTGGTGAATGTTAGTGGTCTGCTGGTCGTTGTCTGTGCCGCTGCAGCTGACTTTGTACAAGGGCCCTCTGCCGTACATGCTCTTCACCGCGTCCAGCCCGTCCAGACGACCACTGCAGGTATGTTTGTTCATTGTGCGCACGTGTATGTGTGCGTGGGGATGTGTGTATGTGTGTGTGTGTGTGTGTGTGTGTGTGCGTGCGTGCGTGCGTGCGTGTGCGCATGCGTGTTTGCTGACATTTGACTTATCTTGCTAACACAAGCAGCCTTTTATTTTTGTCTGCCATTTAAGCAGCCTTTGTGTCTGCCATGTAGGTAGCCTTTGTGTCTGCCGTGTACCAACATGGAGAAGCACACAGTATGACACTGTGTATGCTGTGGATTGCAATATATTTTATAGCACAATACTAATTCAGCCTGTTGACTGTGGCTAGTGTGGCGAAGTGTCAATTGAGAGATTGCTGTACGGAGTGAATTGTGGTGCCTGTACCTAGCATGCATGTGCCTGAGTTAATTTCCCCCGATTTGTGTGTGTGTGTGTGCGTGTGAGTGTGTGTGTGTGTGACTGTGACTGTGTGCGCGTGCGTGCTTGCATGTGTGGATGTGTGCATATGCATGTGTGTATGTGTGTATGGGTGCTGTGTTCTTGACTTGCTATTGTTACCTTTCTGTAGAAATTCCAGGCAGCTATCAAGAAGCTAAATGACATACTAGATGGCTACTGCATTCCAGAGCCGTACCTGTCTCAGATAGTGCAACTTCATGTTGAGAACTTGATGGAATCACTCTACTGCCCAGAGCTGCCGCTATTGGACATGCAGGTAAGGGAGGCTGTGCATCGCTGTGTCCTGATGTTTATTAATGGCTGTTACAAGCGTGTGCAATCGGATTGGCTCGTGAGCGAGGTTGCGGGTGGGAGAGATGTGAGCGGCAGGATGTAGTGTGTGAGTGCTATAGACGTGGGTGAATGTAGAGTTACTGGTGAGTGACTGGAGTGGCTGAGTCTCCAAGCTGGGCAACTGTGAGCTATTAGTCGCGGCTAGCGCCCCCGGACTTTCCTGGGCATGACTTGGCGGGGCGGCTGCCGAAGCATGTGCTGCACTGGTGGCCGTAGCGACAGGCTGCGCTTTGGCAGCGGCCTTGGTTGTAATCGCGGCAGACGGCTGGGGCGTTTGGCTGAGCGGTTGCCCCTGACCGCTGTGCCAGAAAGGGGTGTTTGGCTGCGGGCCCTTTCAACAGTGAAGCTAGGTTACAAGTGTTTGGCTGCGGGCCCTTTCAACAGTGAAGCTAGGTTACAAGCACGGGGGCAGCGAACTGCTAAGTGACCTTGCCAGTTGCAGTGACAGCAAGGAGGCAGGATGGAGTTCGTAAACCACTCCGACCAGAGTTCTGGGTGTGGGGTGGCAAGGCTGGATTTGCTGCGTGCCGCTCTTGCGCGGAACGATGTATCAAAGCCGGACCACGCACCGACTGTGTAACGTGCGGCCGCTTTGACAATTGTGCCCTGATATTTGAATAGTTCCGGACCTCTGCCCGGGTCATGGTGGAGGGTTATTTGGGCAAAAGCTGAGAAAGCCTCCAGCCACGACGTCAAGTCTACGATTTTTCTTCAGACGGGATGACGAGGACATGGTGGATGGCACAAGGGTGATTATGGTTCCCCGTTCCCTGCAGTGTGAATCCTCCGTCCGGACCCATGCTTGTGTCAAATGCTAGTTCTCCCAGAACCCTACCAAGTCAACGTTGTCACGTTTTTAAAATGATCTTTTCCGTGAGCTGGTCGCTGAGGGCAGGCAATGGGATGAATGGTGGACGCTCTGGGGCGAGCAGATCGCCGTCGAGGAAGAGTCTCTCTTGGTCTGGCCTTATTGCTGCAGGCTGGATATATTCAGGCTCAGGCTCCACAACATTGATGGAGACTGGACCAGCCCGCTGTGCTGCTGTAGCTGTAGCTGCTGCTAGTGTTGGCAGTGGAGTTGCTGCAGCCTGAGCAGGTGCGGGTTGCAGATAGGCTTTTCCACATTATGTTTTGCATAATTTTTGCATCTTGGGGGTAAAAATGAATCCCCGTTGTAAAAATGCATCTTTCGTGATTTTTGCCAGATTTTCTTCAAAAACAACAACGTTTGCGTGGTTTTTGCCAGATTTTCTTCAAAAATAACAAATTTGGTGTGATTTTTGCCAGATTTTCTTAAAAAACAACAAGTTTTGCAAGTGTTAGCTAAACTTTTTTTCTTCTGCTGGCAAGACTTGAGCTTGCCCCACACCTGACGTAACCTGACTCTTGTCAGTCTCGAAATATGCCCGGCACTGGGGCCGGCAGGCGGCAGTGCATGATGATGTGCATGAATGCACGGGTACATGTCCTGTACATGTAGGGTTCTCTGATGCCAACATGTACATGCTTCGAATCAGGGAGTCGTAAAATACTGGTATTTTACGACTCCCTGCTTCGAATGAATTTGGCAGCCGTCTTGTTGCCATGGCAACGGGTGAATAACTTTCGCACATTGGGTGATTTTTTGAATTTTTTTAGATTTTTTTTCAAATCTATCCATTTTTGAGAATAACATCATTCCCCAAAAAATCGAGTTTTACATCCACATCTTTCCAATATTTTTTAGAATAATGTGGAAAAGCCTAGTTGCAGACCCATTGATGTCGTAAATGACGTCATGCAGGACGCTACTGTACTGCCTCTTGCACGACTCGGGAGATATCTGCAGACTACTCCATCGTGACTGCGGGCGACGAGCCAGGCTGGGCCGTGGCCGCGGGGCTGTCAGTGGCCGAGGCTGACATGACACAGGACTAGCACGCCGACGCGTCATCTTTTTTGCGACCTGGTTCGTATTGTGAGTGGCCTCGTTTCCTGCCTGGGCCGACAAATGCTCGTGAAGACAGTTCACTTGCGATCTAAAATTGCCTGAGCATGAAAGCCCGAGTTCTCTCAGTCGAGTTTCGACTCCGTCGACTTTGAGTTGGCGGAGATCGGAAAGTGATGGCACGGAGCTGATGGTGACATGTATAGGCTAAGGAATTGCAAAACAGTTGGATGTATGCAGCAGCACAGATAGCAAGAGAAAGAAGCCGTGGATGAGTTTGTTCCTACTTTTGATGGCTGTGGCTAGCCGTTGACCCAACGGTATTCGTGTGAGTACGGCGTTTGTTTGTGCTGCCAGCTCGTGCCCGGTTCGCCAGTGAAACCGATCTTTTGTGCTATTGACTGGCTTTTCATACAATACTTATTGATGTCTAGAGGCATACTGTCTAGCCTTCCCCTGGTACGCATTAAGGCCGATTCACAATACAACTTCTTGCGACGCGACATGCGACATCTGCGACAGCAGCGCACGGTTCACAATCTTTTTCATGTTTGTGACATCCATGTGCACTAGTAGTACTATCCACGTGCACTGCATGTGCACTCAGGGGAGAAACTGTACTCCATTTGTGTATGTCACGTGTCGCAAAAGTTGAACTTCCTTCAACTTCTGCGACAGGTGCCTTGCGACTGTACGCGACAGCTCACGGCGGGCAGTTTCTTGTTGCAACTGTTGCAAATCGCGTGTTGCGTCGCAGAAAGTTGTATTGTGAATCTACCCTTACGCAGGGCTTTGTTGAAGTTCGTACTGTGAACTGCCAAAGCGAAATGTCATGGTGCTGGGGCGGGTGTGACATTACGGTGTCCCTGCAGCTGGCCTAATCGCGTTTGTTGCCACAACCGATTTTAACTTTCGTCTATCCTTTTTTGATGCTGGTAGTATAATTTCACTCGACTGAATCGATGACGCCTATAAGTTTATAGCACGAAATTTCATTTTTTCCCCTGACTCTGTACAGTAGCTTTCTGTCTTTGATAGGCTAGTCTTTGAAGTAGCTGGGTGTAATGTTTGACATCCAAGCTACTGGTACCACTGTTGTTGCCATAAGCCCATTGCGCAATGACGTAATTTGTACCGTTAACACCCCACACAGCCCCCTGGGCATGGTCGTCTGGGGTGTTGAACAGTACATTGCTGATCCCAGTGTACTCACATGCATTACTCATACAATCCATATTTGACAATGCACAATGGGCTTATTGTTTTGTTTTGTTTTTGTCTAGGATGCACTGTCATCACTGGAGAACCGGTTGCCGGCTCGTCTGCTCAGCGACATCCGTGCCCTGCTCCAGGCGTACTCCAGGCACGAATCCGCACCATTTCCTTTTGACAAGGTTAGCCACCGTGCTGCGGGATTTGTCCGTGCTTGCCGTACTGCTTCTTCCGAAAACCCTGATACACATTATTTTTTTACAGGAGTGGTTTACGTAGTCAGCATCCTTTTCACTGGAGTCAATTGTCTGCAGTGATAACATGTGCACTGTTTGCAAGTATGTTTTACCCTTTTTCTCACATTGCAAAACAAGGTGCCATGAAAGGCTAGACATCAGCCCTATAATGGACTACAGACCTGGGGAAGATAACGCTCTTAACTGACATCAAGAGGGGTTATGGACTCTTGCTGACATTTGAGTATAGGCAGATATCTTGCCTCTAAGCAACCCCAAGCCGTTCTAGGATGATCATGGATACGGGTGGTATGCATATTAATTTTAAGTAATTAAATTTGCATGCAGTTTCACTTGGCCGTGTGTGTGTGTGTGTGTGTGTGTGTGTGTGTGTGTGTGTGTGTGTGTGTGTGTGGTGTCCCATATGGTGCAGTGGTATGTGCAGCGATTTCCAATCGATAGATTGCGGGTTCGATTCCCGACGATTATGGTCACACACGTCTTTCTTCTCTTTCTCAGACTCTTCCTGACTTTTCTTTCATTCTCCTGGGTGGTTACCAACAGCCAGTGCATGCCGGAGTATGTGGTGTGATGTGTGTGCGGGAAAAAAAAAAAAAAAAAAAAAAAAAAAGACCAAAAATAGGGATTCACTGGCCAGAAAATGTCACTCCAAATAGCTGTATGGTGTAGACCAGGCTGAATAGTGACGGTCAATTCTTCAGCCTTGCAAGCTGTTGAATGGTGTAATCCCAGCACAAGTTGCTATGGCTTCTGCCGTAGCATTGCTATCATCGCCTCCGGCGATGGGCGTCAAAGGTCAAAGGTGTGTGTATGCTGTCTCACAACTCGTCGTCACAGTGCTCAGTGCTGTATTTGTTTTCCTGCTGCAGATTGCTTCACTGATCGACAATCATACGCTGGCAATCAAGAAGCACTCAGAGCGAGAGCGGTTCATCATCGATACGCAGACCATCGTGGAACTGCTAAAGAGGTGAGCATGCGTCAGCTAGACTTACCGTAAAGTACCGCGAGAGAGCCCCGTCTCGCGACAGCGCCCCACCTTGCTTTTACAGCCAGGGAAAGGAAAATCATATGGCAGAGTGCAACGAAGTTTGTACGGTGTGAGAACCTTAGTGTACTAAGGCCACCCTTAGCAGTTTTCTGTGTGGAGCTCATGTCCGCTTGAAGGTAAATCGAGTATGGATTGACTGCACAACGTGCAATGTGTGTACAAGGTTCGTGCCGTATGACCTACAGGCGGGATACCACCTCCACAATATGACCACAAAAGGACGAGATGATGGGGCGCTCTCGCGATACTTTACGGTACAATTGTTCTGGTGTGTGGCTTTTTGCCAACATTTCCTGTGAAGTGGAGTTGAAATGTGCAGCGTTTGACCGCAACGTAGACTTGGTAGTGCGTATTTCTGTGAGCAGGGAGTGAAATGGTCTCTCCTGGGCATGCTGAAGTTCAGAGTGAGTTTATTATATCAGGCCAGAAATAATGTACGTGTAAAACACAATCTAGCTGCTGTAGGGCTTGGCGAGCTTGGCCTCTACTCTAACTTACCGTGTGATATTTGATTTGAGAAAAGGAAATAAGGGCTCAATGAGTGATCCATATACATGTACACTATGAATTACCAATGTTACTATTGTGTCACCTCTTGCTGGTGGTTTCCAGTGACTCCTGGGTTTCCTGTCGTTGCAAGTCTCTTATTTTCTCCTGCTGATTATCTCCATTGTACGTATGCTTGGTGTTTGTACTTTGTGTAGATATCGCGGTGGTGCACGTGGTCACCAGATGGACATTGTTGTGCAGTTCCTTCGCCGCTACATGGACGTAGAGGAGAAGTTTGCCATTGGTAAGGCACTGTATTGATTGCTGTCTCTGTTGCCATGTCCATGTTTCGCGCCAGTTTGCGGGCTTTCTCATATAGAGCTTTCTTTGACCTGGTCTTCCTGAGTGCTGTTTGGTCTTTAAGGAAATCCATGATAGCGTCCTCTAGATGAGGCCACATTGGAGCACGTCCACTGCCAAGTATTTTGCTCTGCTTCGCTTCTCCCTTCACTTTTCTCAACTCTGCCTCGTTGTTCGCCCCTTCTCTCCGGCGATACGCCAAACTGCTCTGCTGTGCTTCATTTTATTTTATAGTGCATTCTTGCTGGGAAAGTGTTGTTTTGCTTATGGCGATGGTCCTGCTGTCTTGGTCATAATGTGTGCACCCCTTTCACCATTGTGGATCATTGTCGATCATTGTCGTGTAGGCTCTTTTGATAAGTGCCTGGACAAGCTGCGCGAGAACAATCGCGACCAGATGGAAAAGGTTGTGCAGTACGTGCTGGCTCATCACAACGTGACCTCGCGTAACGTTCTCATTCTGGCGCTACTTGTAAGTGCACGTCGTGCTGTCACACTGTGCATGACCATGGGCGTATGTGTATGCGCGTGTGTACATGACCGGCGCTTTATTAGCGGGCTTGTGCCAAGCATTGCTGCATGCAAGAGCATGGGTTTACTCAGTGAATATACTATTGTGCGATCAGATACGCTCACTCCTCGTTTATCCGGGCAGTCCGGGACCGGGCACTGCTCGTAACTTTAATATGTCTGTAACTCCGAATTGCATTATATTTTGATGGGCAACGGCCATAGATATGGCATAGGACGTCACTATTTCCACAAAAGGTGCCGAAAGAGTAGTAATATTTCTACTGAAACTCGCCCAAAGGGTGCGGGGTGCCTGGTAGACCGAAGTGCCCGTAACTTGGGGGTCCGGATAGCCGAGGTGTGAGTGTATATGGTCTGAAACACGGCATTGTTAGTACACTGGTCGTTTCTTTACTGTTGTCTGTGTGTATTGTGTGTCCTGGCTGTGCGTATAGGAATGCATCAGCCAGTACAAGATGACAGTGACGGG